AAGGAAGAGTCACTCGGGAATGAGTCCCCCTAGCTCCTTAGTTAGGTCTCATTTGTAATTACGCTGGGTTGATTTACTGTTGATTAAACTGCGGAAGATCCGACAGTAGCTTGGAATCTCTTAAGCTGACCAAGCCCTCTCAGTCTAACTACCAGGCAGACGACTAGTCTTCACCGGGATAGAAAGCTGAAGCAATAAGCACAGAACTCCACTACTGGAATTGGATTCCAGTACAAAGTAGTAGACTGGCTAACTCTCGTATAACCAATCCACTACTAACGAATGGTGAAGCTCTAACAACCTAATCAGATTCTATCTATCTCAGGTTGAAGCAAAAATCAAGAAAAGCTGATCAGACTTCAATTAATTCAATGAAACACGGATCATTCGATTAAAACCAAACAGTATAATCATCCCAAGTCATTACAATCAAATCCCTAACACATGGAACTATGGTTCTTCATACCCAAGTGAGAGAAGAGTTCTACTCCATAGAGAGAGAGAGAAAAACAGAATACAAAGCAGTCATACTCATAACAATGGGAAGAATCTGCTATGGGATGATGATTTTCACTCCTATGATGATCTCCAAGCTCGATTTGATGAAACCCAGCTCCAAGATCGCTTCTAGGATGTGTTCTTCACACTTTCTCTCTCTCTAGGGCTCTGTTTTTCTCTGAAAAGTCGATTCTCTCACTTGTGGCTCGAAATTGGGTAAAAACCAGAAAATCTCGATCACACGGGCAGGCCACACGGTCGTGTGGCTTACCCAGATGCCCGTGTGAGAGTCAAAACGCCGAGTTTCGGTTAATTGGACTTCAGGCCTCCTACACGGCCAGGGACACACGGCCGTGTAGAATCTCCAATCTGCCTGTGTGAAGCCTCGCACAATCCCACACGGCCACATTGGTTCCGTACACGGCCGTGTGAGTATTATGAGTGCCCGTGTGGCTTCCTCAGCGACTCACCACACGTCCGATCTTCGTCCAATCGACCCCGAACTCGCTCCCAAACCTTCATTCACGTACTAGGACCTTAAATATCACAAACAAGCACAACCTAGCGTGAAATCGGTCTAAAACACGAGAATCAACATCTCAAACGGCTCAAGAACAGGGGTAAAAACATGTGCAATTAACGGTTTATCAGGTACCGTTGTTTAGTTACACTATGTAGTTGCCTTCTAAGTTCTTTCGGTGCTATTGCTCCGATTAGTTTCTGTCTTTGTATCCATGCTTAGATGAACGGTTTTGGCGCAGTATTTTTCTTTCACTCGCGTCAATTCAGTTTCACCACCCATACATGTTATTTTGTCTTTGCAAGGGGTTGAGGAGAGGCATATTGGGATCATCGTCTCAATTTTGCGACTTTGCAAACAAAGATGCTCCAAAATCTCTGTTTTCGTTTGGTCTGCCTGATTTTATTGGAAGAGTCCTTTTATTTTAAAGAAGAGTCTCATGTTCCACAAATTGGCCGATGTAAACCGTTGGAAAATTTGATTAATTGAAAGGCTTAAGGACTTGTTGTCCTAATGCTTCAGTATCCGGGTTTAGTTGGTGAAGCAAAAGTTTGTGAAATGCAGAATCACATATCACTCTGTCGCATAGTTTTGTTCTGGCTAGCTCCAGCAGGGAGTTAAGCTAAGTTGTAGGGCGTGTCATTTTGTGTTCTGTTTCAACACTCCTTCTCTTGAAATGGCTATTCATGCTTTAGGTATATGTGTTTTTCATTCTCTCTAGTTGGAATAGCGTGAGAATTGGCTTATTTTTTAAGGTAGAAGAAAACTGAAGTCTGATGGAAGTGAGTTGATATGTTTCCTGATTTCTTAAGCTTATATTTGTTGATACTCATGAGTCTTATCTCAGTCCTCATTAAGTATAATGATCAACTTTGTAACAGGAGAGTGCATGATCAACAATTAATCATTGTCACCAGCTTATCAAAAATGCTTAGCTTCCTTTATGATTTCAAAACCTTTAGTTTTTAGTTTATTATTTCTTGCCTCAGTTTGCTGGTAATTATTGGTTAGCTTCTTCTATTTGCTTTAGTCAAAACATGTTGGAGTCCTCATTAAGTATAATGATCAACTTTGTAACAGGAGAGTGCATGATTAACAATTAATCATTTTGACCAGCTTATAGTAATGCTTAGCTTCCTTTATAATTTCAAAACCTCTAGTTTTTAGTTTATTATTGGGCTAATTGCATGGTTGGTCACTGAGATTACAAAAAATGTTTAAGTTTGGTCACTCGAAATATTTAAATCCATTAGTGGTACTTTAGTTTACTGAAACCGTTCACGTTTGGTCACTCTTCGTCCAACTCTGTTAACTTTAGTTGATGTGGCAGTCAACTCTCAAAGTTGACCGTTAACTAAGTGACGTGGCAATTAAGAAATAATAAATAAAATAAATTTTCATCAATTTTAATGTCTGACTGCATGAAACTACACCACAATAAAACCCCAATTAGAGCCCAAGTTTTTAAACTCTAATCGGGTGCAGTATATGGAAAGTACTTAAATATCGAACCGGGTCAGTCCGTCTACCCCTACTTCAGTTATTGAAATCATTATCTAGCAACAAAACTTTGGTTTAAGGGTTTGCTAATTGAAATAAAAGAAAGAAAAGGTGATTGGGTTTGAAAACTCTTTTGTGGGAAAGTCACTCGGGTGTCGCTTCCCCCAAACTGTTACCATTCTATGTGGATTGGAACCATTGCCTTCGGCACGATAATCGTGAACCGAAGAGGAATGCATATGTGGTCGGAGACCATAGTCTCAATTGCTAAACCGAGGTAAGGATGAAAGGCCGTGTCACTCGACCCTCTCGGTTTAGACAATCGGTAATTGAATTACTCCTTCACTTAACTCTAAGGTCGGACGGTTTAATCACAATTAATAGACTTGCTTAACTCAATATTGAGGGTTGCCCTAACTTAACCTAGTTTAGGTGGCTTAGAAAGCGGAAGGAAAACCAACTCGATTGAGTCTCCCTTGAAAGGGGGATTTTCCTCTCTAAACTAGGCTAAGGTGGCAAATTAGATTACTAGCACCGAAATGCACAAACCTAGGGGTGCTAAGCACAATTATACACAATTCTTAGGTTGCTAAGCACCTAAATGCACAAACCTAAGGATGCTAAGCACAAAACATGCACAACCCCTATGTTGCTAAGCACAAGCATGCACAATCATGGTGAATAATGCCTCAATCATTGAATTGAACAATACCCATGACCATCATCCAGAACACATACAAGAAAACTACATGGTAGAGTTAGGGTTTCACTACACCCAAGTGAAAGGAGGTATACTCCATGCTAGAAGTGGGAAAAACAAAAGGGAAAAAGGTGGAAACCATCTTTGAGAATGCTCCCATTCTCCTTGACCCTTGAGTTGAGCTTTCCTTGTGGGAAATCTTTCCAAAATCTGCCTTGAAGCCAAACCCTAACCTTCTTCTTCCCTTTGGTTCTGTTTCTCGCACTAGAATGCTGAAGAAGGTGCTTCACACAAAAGTGGGCTCCCTCCTCTCTCCTCCTTTCAGCTCATCTTTTAAACCCGAGATGAGCTGAGTTCACGGCCTGAGTTCACGACCGTGAACCATGAAACGCGTCTATGAACTCCAGGCGTGCGCCAAAACGCGCTGCATCGCTCACGTCTGTTTACGGTCAATTTCCTTTGTTCACGGTCTTAGTGACCGTGAACTCACCTAGCGTAATAACCTTCACATTGGCTCTGGTCGCCTCGCGATTCATGGTCAACTCCTCTTCTTCACGGTCTTGCATGACCGTGAACTCCTTCAGTTAGCTGTAAACTAGCTCTTTTTTTCACCTCTTCTCCCGGTTTTCGATCCTTTTCGCCAATCTTTCGACTCCTAGGCTGGTTTCACCTGCTAAATCCTGAAACACACTCAAACACAAAGAACCTAGCGTAAAACCAACCTTTTAGGAGAGAACTTGGCACAAACATCTAAGTAAAATGGGGGCAAAACATTTGCAATTAGGCCTGAATCAATGTCCAAATCATTTTACCATAAATAAAATAAAAATTATTATAATTATCAAAAGCAGAGGTGCAACCGCTGGTCCCGCCGTGCTCATAGCCTCCACCGCAAAAGGAGTGCTTGGCGCTATTCCAAGCTCGGCGTTCCAGTTATCGTCGCTACTCTGCTCCAACTCCACAACCGAGAAACAGGAAACAAAGAACCCCTAAATCGCTAGAACAACAGAGACTCTCAACTTCACTGCAGTTCAATTCTAATTCAACCATCGTATTTGACTTCATTGGATGATAATCAGACAAAGTCTTGAATTCCGAAGATCCTTTGGCAGTGGGAGCGAGTCGGAAGCTTCAGGGAGAGATCGATCGGGTACTGAACAAGGTCCAAGAAGGTGTAGATGTCTTTGACAGCATCTAGAACAAGGTCTTGCCTCTGCTCTCTTCTGCTAGTTCTCACTTCCATCCCCAGTTCGTTTCCTTCTTCCTACCTTCAGCAGAAATTTCAACTGTGCGACTGGGATATTTCGTTTTTTTCTATGAACTGTGGCTTGGAACGCCGAAATGGAGGTGGCAATGGAGAGATAAAGTAGGCTATAAAAGCAATCCATTTTGAATCCTTGACTGTAGGAGTTTGTATTGGTTTTCTCGGCAATTAGGCATTAAATTTTATTTTATTTATTATTTCTTAATTGTCAGGTCACTAAGTTAACGGTCAACTTTGAGAGTTGACTGCCACATCAGGCAAAGTTAACAGAGTTGGACGGAGAGTGACCAAATGTGAACGGTTTCAGTAAACTGAAGTACCACCAATAGATTTAAATATTTCGAGTAACCAAACTTAAACGTTTTTTTAATCTCATTGACCAAACATGCAATTAACCCGTTTATTATTTCTTGCCTCAGTTTGCTGCTAATTATTGGTTAGCTTCTTCTATTTGCTTCAGTCAAAACATGTTGGAGCTGCTTCACAAGGTTTAATACTCGAGCGAAACTGCAAACTCAATGTACTTCAACTCTTCTAGCCAAAATCCTTCGCCTGAAACTGAAACCCGTGACTGGACCTTGGGTCCTCAGCAGAAGATATCTTCTGTCTCTCAAGGTTTGGTTTACAACTAGCTCCTTCATCCTAACGGTTACCTGGTCCCTGTCTTGTAAGTGTGTTTATTTTACTTCTGATGCAGGGGAGAAGAGTCGAGCTGTGATGGTTCTCATGTCCTTGGTTCAGTCATTCTCGCCTGCACATGAAACATCGCAAGGAGAAGTGAGGAACAAGATCCATAATATACTAGGACAGACCACTAGTATTGACTATCGAAGGATTCCAACTTCCTTTTCCCTGGTTTTCCCTATTCAATGAGTAATGGACAAGACTTCCAGATGCGTGATAGAACCCCTATACACCTAAATCTATTATTTGACTTAGAACTTTGGTTTAATACACTTGTATATCCAAAACTCTCACGGTTGTGCCAATAATATCCAAATTTCCCGAAATACCACTTAAAATAAAAAGTGAACTTATAAAAAGTGAACTTGTAACTAATGGTTCACAACTTAGAAAGACCATCCTTAAAATTTATTTTCTCAAACACAAAACCTAAAAATGACATAATTAAACTTGGTTGCAACTTACATGTATTTATAAATAATATTCATTGAGACACTTGAATCAAAATAAAATGATTTTGGGTTAGGAAGCTTAGGATGAGGACTTGTGTTCTTCATAATAATATAAACTGTAAAATTGACTTAACCTAAGTTCTTCACATAACCTAAGCTCTACCAACTATTTCATGATATGTAACTAGAGTTCAGGGTTTAAGGTTAATGCATAGGGTATTACAGTCATGGTTTAGAGTTAGGATGATTAGGATGTATGTAATGGTTCACAACTTAGAAAGACCATCCTTAAAATTTATTTTCTCAAACACAAAACCTAAAAATGACTTAATTAAACTTGGTTGCAACTTACAACATGTACTTACAAATAATAATCATTGAGACACTTGAATCAAAATAAAATGATTTTGGGTTAGGAAGCTTAGGATTAGGACTTATGTTATTCACAATAATATAAAATGTAAAATTGACTACGTTTTGCACATAACCTAAGCTCTACCAACAATTTCATGACATGTAACTAGAGTTCAGGGTTTAAGGTTAATGCGTAGGGTATTACGGTCATGGTTTAGAGTTAGGATGATTAGGACGTATGTTCTTTACAATAACCAAATATAAAATTGACTTAACTTACATTCTTCACATAACATAAGTTCTACCATCAATTTCATAACATATAGCTATAGTTCCTGGTTTAAGGTTAGTGTATAGGGTATAGGGTCATGGTAGGGTTATGGTTAAGGGTTAAGGTTCGTTTTAGGGTTAATATTGTTGTTTAGTGTTATGGGTGGTTTGATGGTTAAGGTTAGTTTTAGGGCTAAGATTTAAGATGGTGTTTTAAGGTTAGGGTTTAGGGTTTCTTCATGGTTTATGCTTTACGATTTAGTGGTGATGTATGGTTCATGAGTAAGGAGGTATGGGTATTTGATGAAAAACTCCAATAACCATCAAGAAATATATTATAGTAGAGTTGGTGGTCTTTTTTAGCATTTCAAATTTCATCTTACGAATTCTATGTATCTTTTTAAACTAAAAACATACATAAACTTACAATCTTAAAAGCATATGACTTTCCATTAAGATTAACTAGCCCACCAACTCTTCCATAAGTATTTCTTTGGTGATAGATATTTTGATTTTATATTTTTATTATTTAATTTGATTTTAACAATTAATTTAACTATTTGGTAGAAATACACATTTCAAATATTTTGAAACTTGAAAATGTAGATCGTAAATATATCATATACAAATGACATTGCGACCAACGGATTGGACAACAAACTAGTTAATCGGTATAAGATTTAACATCTATTAATTATTAAAAAAAAAAGTATCATCAACAATAGTAAGTATTAAAGAAAGGAAAAACTAAATATTCACAAAAAAAGTTGAGGGAAAATTTTTGAATCCCAAATTTAAAATCACTTTTAAACCTCCTCCCCGCCCCACCACCACAAATATTTCGTCTCAAATTCCCTCCCTCCAAACCGTAAAAGCACTTTTGTAAATCCCTCTACAGCTCGTTTGCATCATGGATTAAATGAAGGTTTTGGGTCCCAAAACCAATTCTTTATGGACTTGCCTAATAATCCATTGTTTGCTTGTATCATTTGGAGAGATGGATTATGTGGGGCCCAAGGACTTTTGGGGTCCAAATCCATGGGCCCCATGGACTTCCAAAAACCAGCTCCATAGGTGGGATTTTTGTAAGGGTTTGAAGTCCATGATGGGCTTTTACATTCTTATCCCCACATAAATTGTTATTGCCAAGTTTAACCTCGTTCTCTTTTCTTCTTCCCAGCAAATACGAGCGGCAAAAAGGCAGTGGTGGCTGGGCAGTGTGAGAAAGAGTGAAAGGCGGGGGTTTCGTCTCTCCAGCTCCAAGAATCGCGAAGGCCTGGGCTGTTGGAGAAAGACGGCGCCACCAAAACACTAGCAAAGATATCGCTATCTCCGGCCAATTACTTCACCGCTACAACCCACGTGTGTAATTGCCATTTTTTTGTCTCTCTCTGTTTTATGTGGAACCCTAGAATGAAAATGGATTGATTCTTCTGTCTTTGTTCGTGATGTAACTGAGGCCATGGTGGTTGCTAGCTTGCTTTTCCTTTCTTGGATGGTTTCTGGTGAGATCAAAATCGATTCCCAATATGATTGATTGTCAACAACCAATTGTCTGTTTCCTTTTGAATGTCACCAAAACTCTCCCACATGGTTGTAGTGTACTAGTAGTAGTTTTCCTACCATCATTTTTGTTTGTTTCCTTTTGAACGTCACCATCATTTTTGGGTTTTGATTCTTTAATATAAGATAAGATCTGCCTTTCTTCTTGAATTTGTTGGCTTTCATGATTTATTATTGCTCCAATGGAAAGCAACTATATTTGACAAAAACATGATGCCCACTGATTGTGTATTAAAAGGGTGAATCTGATTGTGTGTTAATTTTTGTTTGTAAAGGCTATGGCTCGATTAAGAAGGCAATCTAATAGGCTGCAGAAGAGGAAAGTTGTGAAGGCTATTAGAATTGTTTTAACCTTGTTGCTTGTTTATGTATCTTTGCTTATTAGGTTTCTTGAGCTATTAATGTTGACAAAATTACAATCTAAACCACGAAACACTCCCTTAGACAATATATTTGACCGTCAACATGATAGAATGCGCTATATGAGACGGGTACTTGAGCTATCCGATACTCGTTGCATTGATAGTACTAGGATGGATAGAAGAATGTTTAGGAAGTTGTGTCAACTACTTGTCAGTGAGGGAGGGCTGAAACGTTATGACGATGTAGCTATAGATGAGATGGTCATGATGTTTTTAGTTACAATCAGACACAACAAGAAGAACAGAACGCTGCAAGTCGACTTTTGTCGCTCAGGCCAAACAATTTCCAAAGTTATCCATAGGGTCCTCCGTGCAATCCTACGATTGCATCCTCTTTTACTACGCCAACCAGAAGCAATACCAGAAAACTGTAATGATGATAAGTGGAAACACTTCAAGGTGACTAATTATTCTCATTTTCTTTTGAAAGTTCTTATAAGTTCACCCTCTGTAACTATCTTAAGAATGATACTTTTGTTGTTTAAGGTTGCTTAGGTGCTCTAGACGGGACACATGTGAAGCTTCGTGTTGGGGTAGAAGATAAGCCTAGGTACCGGGATCGCGAAGGGCATATTTCCATGAACGTATTGGGTGTGTGTAACCCAAACCTCGAGTTCATATACTGTTTAGCTGGTTGGGAGGGTTCAGCACGTGATGGAAAAGTTCTTAGAGATGCATTGGCGAGGCCAAATGGTCTACGTGTTGAGAAAGGTAATATGGGTTTTTAGAAGTCTCTGGACATTCTGAAAAATATCCTAAAATCCACTAATTAGTCCTTTCCAATATGTTTTTTACTTAATAGGAAATTACTACTTGGTGGATGCCGGGTATAGCAACTGTGAAGGATTTTTAGCCCCTTACCGAGGATAAAGGTATCACTTGAAAGAATGGGGAGGAGGTAATATGCCATTAACCGCCGAAGAGTACTTCAATATGAAGCATGCTACCGCAAGAAATGTGGTTGAAAGGATATTCGGTATTTTGAAAAATCGATGGGCAATTCTTCGAGAAACTAGTTGGTTCTCTCCTGAGGTTGTTACCCTATTAGTGAATGCATGTTGCTTGCTGCATAATTTCATCAAGATAGAGCAGGGAGTTGATTCATTTGAAAGAGATTATAGGGACAAAGAACCTGATCAGCATCCTTCATCTGTGGTGGAAGAAATTGAGCTGCTCTCCGAAATTAGTCCTGCACAACTTTGGACTCGGTTCAGGGATTCAAAAGCAGTAGACATGTGGGAGAACAGAAGTAGTAGATGAGTTTAGGACTTTGGAAATGTTGTATTAAAACATCTATTTATAAGTTTAACATGTATTTTGTTTGTATGAATCTGTATTCCTATTGTATTCTAACTGAATGTCAATTTTAGTGCTGCTGTCAATGGATGTTAATGGATGTTATTTTTATTAAAGGCTGCTGCTGTCAATGTGAATTTCTGTGCTACTGTAAATGGTAGTAGATGGTCCAATTTTAACATGTATTCTAACGAAAGTAGTAGATGAGTTTATGTTTCTATAAATGGTATCAGTTGAGAACTTTGTTGCTATCAATATATGTTATTTATGTTAAAGGTGCTGCTGCACTTTTTGCGTTGGCAGTGTATTATGTGGTTGAATGGTTTATATATGTTATTTATGTTAAAGATGTGGGTGCTACTGTGAATGGTTTTTGTTAAGGAGTGTCTTATAGGTTTCTTTGTTTGTAGGATGACAAAAAAAAAGAAAACAAGTCATCAACGAAGGGGGACCGATTGAGCCTACTTCTGGTTACTTCTCGTGGGACGAGAAGCTTAATGCTTTGCTCATACAATGCATGGTGGAGTTAGTTCAGAGGCATCAGGTGGAGAATGGATCTTTCAAAAATGGGACTTTTTCTGAGCTTCAGTACATGATGGAGGAGAGGGCTCCTGGCTGCGGTGTCAGAGTTGAACCACACATTCGTAGTAGGCATAAGTTGCTCAAGAAGGACTTCCATGCTGTGCACTTGCTGCGTAATCAGAGCGGATGTGGTTGGGATAATGTAACAAAGACACCTACACTGGATGATGATGTCTTTGAGAATATTGTAAAGGTAATTTACACTTTAAACCCAACTTGAATCAGATTTCAGTGACCATAATATTTTAACAGTTCATACATCTTTGTAGGTTTTCCCAAATTGCAAAAAACTTAATAGGAAGCCTTTCCCATTTTATGATGAGCTGTTGAAAGTGTTTGGGAAGGTTGGTCCTGCAAATGGAAGGAAAACAGTGAGTATAACTGATGATGTGAGCTCCCTCGCCATAGACGGTATGACATTCGTTGATTTGGATGTTACTCAGACACCACACATTGTAGAGGGACATAATGCTGAGAGGTTTATGGAAGATTTGATCAACGAAGGGGTTGAGATGTCCCAGAGGGCAGCTGCTACTACTTCGACACATAAAGCAGTTCCTCCAGCAGCAGGGGCTTGTGACGGCATCAGGAAGAGGGCCAAGAAAACAGAGAATAAGACGGACGATGCAATTGTAGCGGTAGCCGATGAACTCTGCGGGTTGAAGCCTGTCATATCCAAGGCACTTGATGCTCTTGGAAGCATCTTAGAAGACCGTGAAGAAGAGACTGGAAAGGAAGCTGCATTGATGGCAGAGATAGGGAAAATAGAAGGTTTGGAACGCTGCCAAGTTCTCGATGCTGCTATGGCCTTGGTGGAGAATGATCGTAAGACAAAGCTTTTCTACGCATTGGACAATGAGGAGGATCGAAAGTACTTTATTCAGAACTTGTTGCGTTGACAAGTTATGATGATGTAGTAGTTGTGTATGTAGTAGGGATGTGAATTTGACTGTAGAAGCTGTGTATGTGACTCTAGTGGTGCGCCTAGGTATGTAGGGGTATAATTTTCTTAGGACACATGTAGTATGGATGGGAAACTCGCCTCTCTTATGCAAAGCTAACAGGTAGGAGTTAGTATGCAGTGGTGATAGGAAGAGGCTGAGGTATTTTGCTTTTGAAAGTTCCCCATCCATTCCAATTATGTGTATGCAAACTTTGTAGTATGACTCGGAATGCTTTGATATATAATCTACTTATGCAGCATGTGTTCTGGTTTTTTTTATGTGTGCAGTTACTTCTCCTCTCTTTATAAAAAATGAATCAACATTACTTCTCCACTCTTTATACAAGTGTTCGTAGAAGTCCATAATGAGGGGAAAAAAGTGAGTTCGATTTCTGTATGTGCCCAGCATAAATAGCTTTGTAATTGACATATGAAAAAGACTTTAATAAATAATAAATAATTAAAATTGAAGGGCAATAAGGTCATTCCAAACCATATCTACAATTCTAATGAAAGCAATATCCATCATGAATTCCATCAAACAAACAATAGATTTGTAAAAGTCCATAATGAAATCAAAACCTTCACAATTCTATAGTTTTCCAAAACCCAGGTTTTATCAAAACCTTCATTTTTCAAATCCACGACGCTATATATTTGGTCTAAATTCCCTTCCTCCAAAACTCGTAAAAGTACTTTTTAAACCCCCCAAATATTTGTTTAAAATTCCCTCCCAAAAACGTGTAAAGCCTCATTTTCTATAACCAAATAAAACATATATATTAACTATAAATTATTTTTTAATTTACTCCATTGAATTTGAACGTTAGTTAATTAGGGGGGACAAAAGTGTCTCTCCTCCCTTATTCTTTTCATCTCATGCTTGTTTTAAATTGGCTGAGTTTGCAAAATAGTGAAAATGATTGGTAAGTTTGTTTTAAATTAGTATAATAGCTAATTATTAAAAAAAATACCTTTATGATTTGGACCGAACAACCCGCAACTTAACCTGCTCGTAACCCGAGTAACCCGCAATCCGATCAATGATAAACCCGATTTACCCACAACCCGACCAACTCGAACCCAATTTGCCCGCAACCCAATTGACACGCATTCCGATCAACTCGATTACTCGAACCTACTTGACCTGCAACTCAATTAACCCGCAACCCATTTGAACCGCACCCAAACCCACACAATTGACACCTTTAGTACAAATCCAAATCCATTTGTTAAAAATCCAACCCAACCCAAGTAAATAGATATGGATACAAATCTATCAAATTCTACTCATCTATCATCTATTTGAATTTCATACCATCATCTATTTGAATTTCATACCGAGTTGGATAGTAAAACGTGTATGGACAAAATTGCCCCTGAGTGCTCATTTTTTTCTTCACTCATCACGTATCGGTGATTCTAAACCAGTCAAACCTGCACAGAACCACCATCTGCTGACTCCTACAAACCAGGTCAGAGAATAATAATATGACAAACTGTCTCCATGCACATGCCACAAGTTGAAAGATCCAAGTACAACCTACCAAAAAAAGGGGCCAATAAAAGTTTTGCCACTTGAGAAAGTTAGGGTGTACAATATCTTATCAGTGTGTTTCTCTGGGTAATAAGAAAATAAGATCACATCTAGCAAAAAACACAAAACTAGATACCATCAAAACTTTTGCAACTTGAGATCAACATAATCTGCATGGCCAACAGCTCTACCTCAAGCTGAATCCTTTACCTTTTGTTGCGGCACCCCATTCTTGAAGTTGAGAAACAGCTCACCGAGATGGGACTCGCAAGCAGTTTGGGCTTCTGGCATCAGTTCTTTTAGAAAGGCCTTAGTCAAGTTATTGGCTGATATAGTCTGGAAGACCTTCCCACAAAATTTCCGCACATCAGCTTGCCTCGACTGTTTCTCCGGCATATTTGTCACTAGCTCCTTGATGAGCACGCTCAGCTTCTGAATCCCCTGAGTTTTCAGCATCTTCTTTGCAGCCTTGTTATCAGAACCCGTACAAGAAATCATTGATTTCAAAACCTCTATAACAAGTTCAAGTGCTTCAACCCGACGAAATTCCAGTTTTGAGCTGCTGCATTGGTCTACAAGGAACTCAAAAAGGTTGTGCGCAATCCACGGTCTCCTCCTAAATATCTCTCTAACAAACCCCGACTTTATTGGGCACTTCTTACTGCAAAAGTAACCTATAAGCAGATTCTTTACCGCATGAAAGACACTATGGCGTTCATCCTCTGAAAAGTTGCTGGCATCAATGACCTTCAGGATCCAAAATGTTGAATCTTGTGCAAGGGAACCCAGCATTTTGTGCCGTTTCCAGGCAGCTGACTGCTTTTTCTTGGATTGATCAGCAGCAGAAGATTTCTTCTTTTTGAATGGCCTGGATGCCAACTTTAAATTTCTTTCAAGCAGTGTTACAAGCAATGCATTGTCCACATCAGCTCCTTTCGGGTACTCCTTTGACTTCACTATTTTCTTATTTAGAATTCCCCATATTCGCTGTCCTAGCTGTTCACTGATTTCTGTGGTCTGCGGGTTAACAAACGCTCGAGCCAAGTATGAATAGATTGTCAAGACGTGGGGCCTACCTGCACAACCAAAACGAACAAATAAATTTAGGTTAGCATTGGTTTTCTGCAGTTGATTTTCCTTTGTTTCTTTTGTTTTTGTTTTCAGCATGCTATAAACTCTGACAAACTCCAAATCCCAAAGGCCTCATAAACCAAAGTAATTTTAGAACTGGTGGTACTGGTAGTTATGTCTCCTTTAAGTTATCAAAAGTCACTGAATGCATTTCAAGACATATATAACCAACTCATTGACGAACAAAGCAATATTTTCTCAGTAACAAGGGTAGAAAGCAATAAATTGAACCTTCTCTGATCCTTGGCTAATCTAACTACTTGCCTGGATTTGTCTGTAGGTAAATCTCCAGCAATGAGAGAACACGAAGCTTGAACAAGACAAGCTGTGATTGAGCAGTTTCACCACCAGCCTGATTTTTTTTCTCTTTGAAAATCTGGGCAAGGTATGTATCCATCTTGAACATTGCATCATCATCCATTCCATCATCTGACTCGTCAGATTCTTCAGGTGATTCTTTGTCACCTTCCACTACTGCCTCGGAGTCATCTGTCTGTTCTTCACTCTCGCCTGTTTCAACTGTTTGGGCTTCATCAGTATCATCATCTTCATCTTCTTCAATGTCGAGAAGATCATCATCATCTTCATCGTCACTATCTGCTTCCCGATGTCTAGCTGGCTTCAAGTCTCTCTTGATGATGCGCAGCATTTGCAACAATCCATCATGTGTCACGTTGTAGGAGAAACACCTAAAAACCTATGAATTAGTAAGGGGAAATAACGTTAGTGAACTCATCAATAACAACTGAAGTATAAAAATGCAGAACCAGCATTTAGCTCTGGTTTGTTTGCGGCGAGACTACTCGAGTATCATAGACACCACATACAAACATGAAATCTAAGTTGAATGACTTGTCAAGAAACAAGAGTTTCACTAGAAGAGTTCCATAAACATGAGTCCTAGCCTGATCTTATCTTGAACAAATTGAGTAAACTGCCAGTAAACTTGATGTGGAATTTTTCTAATGAAGATGCCTCACTTCACACCATATCAAAGATAACGTCATATTGTGCCATGCTAACAGAAAATTAAAGCCTTAGGAAAAAGTAATTAGGAAGAGAAGTTGAGCTACAATAGGTTATAAACCAATTTGGAATTTCATATGACGAAGAGGCACTAATCTAGAATATGAAACAAACTAGAATTTTTTTTTTTTTTTTGTTATTCCAACAACATACCTCCTCAACAGCAGACCGGATAGGAGCTGATGACTGAGGCAACAGTGAAACTAAAGTGTCGACAAGAACATCCATCCACAAAACATCACTATCCGACACATCTTCCCCCGACTCAAGAACGTCAGAAAGGACAAAAGCTTTCTTGCAACATATGATAATTTCAGAGACAGGTTCAGTGAATTCTGCCGGATGAAGAAGCAATTGGAGCAATAGCTGGATCAACAAGTACCTCAGTGCATGATACTTGTACATGAAGTCCTCAGGACCGCCCCTTCTTTCCTGCCATAATTAAAATGACTAAGAATGATGCCATGGAATGGCAAATGATAAACAATTGTATATATGCAGGACAAAGTAGATACTGACTGCCTGCATATGAACAATTTTTTAGGCCCTATATGAGCGGATATATCTACAAGCGAAAACTACCAGAATTTTTCAATCAAATATTCAATCAATGTCCTGTTGCCTTGAGAATGTGAGCATGGGGTATCAGTTTTGCATTTGTCTTGAAACCACGTGAACATAGAAACTTATACTTGGAACTACACTATGACAGAAAGTTGCTGTGCAAGAGATATACAATTTGAATTTAATCAAAATAAATAAATCATTAAGAGCAAAACACTTGAATACTATATTTTTATTTTACATAAACATTTGAGTAAAACTATGAAAGTGACTTCAAACCTTTAGAAACACCAAACACAGCTACTTAAATGAAAGTACTTACCTGTTTGTAAAGACTAGCTTCCATTGCTTGTAACTTTTGGTAAGCCTTCTCATCCTCGTCACTTAAAACACGGAATAAAGAAACAGAAGGTATGCTGCGCAATGTTGAGAGGAATTGCATGAAGAACGACCCCAGATCACTAAATTCAGAGCTTTGCAGCAAAACTGGGGATACGTCCATCTTCTGAACACTTGCCAGTAATGATTGCATTTGCTCAATGCACATTTTGCATATGGCACTTGAAGTTGCTGCCTTTGGCCACCTAAATTTCTCATGTAGTTCAAAAGATGTGACCTCAGAGCCAAGAGATGCGGAGAATAAACCTTGAACTGCAAGGAACTTTAGGATTTCTTTTTGGACACGGAATTTTTCTTCAGGCTCCAACTTCAAAGATTTCAAGATACTTGGCATTGATTCTACAATCCAACTTTTCAAGGAATCAGAAATTCCCATGACACCAGAATCTTTATCCTCTAGCGATCCCATCTCTGAATTGTCATCAGTTGTCTGGCTCTGGTCTGAAGGTTCATCTGATGCATTACCTTCATCCACAAACAAGTTCATCAAATTTTGAATGAACAGCATGCAACCAGATTCCGTTTTGTAGTCTGCCAACAAAGCTTTTACTGTTTTTGTCTTTGTTATGAAATCAAATTTCCCATTGCTGTGTTTCTGTAAGGCAACTATGACAGCAACTCTTCTGACATCATCATCTCCAACCCAATCTGACAATCCTTTAATAAA